GTTTTTTTTTAAAAATAATATAAAATGTCGAGAAGTGCCTTACGTGCAATAGTCGATTAAATGTTCTGGAAATCTCACCCTTCTTCCAGAACGCGTCGTTTTAAGTTTATTTTCGGATACTGTCGAAATATCATCGTGTGTGTTGGTTGTCGGATGAGGTATTATAAATGTTGGAGTCGTGTCGTTCGATTGTACCGAAGGAAAATCCACGTAGATAGGATTTCCTTCTAAATACACTGCTTTTAAGCGATCAATGCTGATGCTATCGTTGGTTCCGTTCTTATCGACTATATAGTACTTAAATTCACGTTGAAGAACTTTGAAGGGTCCTTCGTATGCTGATTCGAATGGTCGTCGATGCGAGTCTCGACGAACGAAAACGTGTGTACTATATCGTAAGTCAGGTTGAACGAAAACATCAGTTGATTGAGGTCGAGTGGAAGCAGGTTTAACTGAACGCATTGCGTTTGTAAGCCTGTTCGTGTAATAGTTAGGTCCATGTTCACTGACGAGGATGAAGGATCCACGAATTCTCCTGGAAGTCGAAGTGTCGTTCCATAAACGAGTTGAGCCGCAGTGTATCCAACGTCAGCTTTCACTGCATTGCGGATACCTAGTAAGACAAGTGGAAGAGCGTCGGTCCACTGTGAAACGTTTGCAGCTGATAGCGAAGCTTTCAGTTGTCGGTGAAAACGTTCTACCAAGCCGTTTGCTTGTGGATGGTAGGCGGTCGTTCGGAAGCGAGTGATTCTTAAAAGTGTGGTCAGACGACGGAAAAGTTCAGATTCAAACTGACGTCCGCGGTCTGTAGTGATGGTTGAAGGGCAGCCAAAGTTTGCTACCCATCGTTCGACGAAGGTGCGGGCCACTGTTTCAGCAGTGATGTCCTTGATAGGTACTGCTTCTGGCCATCGAGTGAAACGGTCAACGCAGGTTAAGAGATAAGAGTATCCATTTGAATCTGGTAAAGGTCCTACCAAATCCAAATGAACATGGTCGAAACGAGCATCGGGAGTTTTAAACAAGCCTAAGGGACATTTATTGTGTCTGATAACCTTAGATTTTTGGCAGCTTACACAGGAGCGTGCCCACTCCCTCACGTCTTTATTCATTCCAGGCCAGCGAAACCGTTCTGCTATAAGCTTGGTGGTTGCACGAACGCCTGGATGAGAAAGTTTGTGCAACGTATTGAAGACGTTGCGTCGATTGGGCAATCCGTGCCTGTGGATGTGTCACACAGTAAGGTTTCCTTACCTGTTGCCATCTGTTTGAAACGAAACTTGAGGTTTGTGGTTGATAACTCGTGCTGAAGATCAGTGTCTTCTTTTTGAAGCTCGGCGAGTTTAAGAAGGTCGATTCCTTGGAAACTGTTCAAGGAAGTTATGCGAGACAAGGCGTCTGCAACTACACTGTTTGCTTCAGAGATGTGTTGAATTTCTGAAGTAAACTGCGGAATGTAGTCCAGTTGTCGAGACTCACGGGGAGATTACTTGTCAGAGTAAGAGCTTAACGAGAAAGTGAGCGGTTTATGGTCCGTGAAAAGAGTGAATTCACGGCCTTCGATATAGTGTTGGAAATGCCGTACAACACAATACATAGCTAGGAGTTCCCTACCGAATGTGCTGTACCTCGATTAGGTGTCTAGCAACCTTCTAGAGAAAAATGCCAAGGGTTGCCAGGAGTTGTTAACCCATTGTTGTAAGACTCCTCCGATTGCCGAGTCCGATGCGTCTACTGCGATGCTAATGGGTGCTTCGGTGTCTTGATGTGCGAGCATTGTTGCTTTGGCAATCAGTTCCTTAGCTGTGGAGAATGCTTTTCGTGCGGCGTCGTCCAAATTAATGGATCTCGCATTTCCACGAAGTTGGTCGGTCAGAGGTTTCATAAGTAATGCGCATTTCGGTATGAAACGTCTATAGAAACTTACGAGGCCGTTAAACGTGCGTAACTGTTTAACGGTGGTTGGTTCTGGTTAATCCAGAATGGCCGCCACTTTTGTTCTAAGGGGTCGGATATCTTGAGCATCGATAGTGTCTCCCAGAAAGTCTAATGAGTTGGTTCCAATTTGGCATTTCTGAGCGTTTACAGTAATGCCATGTTTTTGTAATCGTTCTAAACAAGATCCAGATGCTTGAGATGTGTTTCTCTGTCCGGACTTGCGATTAGACAGTCATCAACATACGCGTGTACGAAGTTGAGACCTCGAAAAACGTCGTCTATGAATCTTTGGAATGTTTGAGCAGCGTTTCTTAGACCGAAAGGCATTCGCAAAAATTCATAAAGTGTGAAGGGAGTAATGATGGCGGTTTTCGGAATGTCGTCAGTGGCCATGGGAATTTGGTTATACGCTCTTACCAAATCGATTTTTGAAAAGACAGTTGTACCTTTCAAAGTAGCTGTGAAATCGTGAATGTGAGGCAACGGGTAACGATCGGGTATGGTTTTCGCGTTCAATCGCCGATAGTCACCAGTTGGACGCCAATCGTTGCTGTCCTTTTTAGGGACCATGTGCAACGGAGATGCATATGGGCTACTTGACGGTCGTATGATTCCTAAGTCCATCATGTGATCGAATTCGTTTTTCGCTAACCCTAGCTTTTCAGGAGCTAGTCGTCGTGCTTTAGAGAATACAGGTGGTCCTGTAGTCGTGATGTGATGTGTAACATTGCTGGTTACACACGGTAGTTTCGGTTGAGTTTGTTGTATCTCAAGGTACTTATGGAGTAGTGGTTGATAGAGTGGGTCTATCATATGTTTAACTGTGACTAGGGATACTCTACAACCAGTAAAAGAAGTTACGCAAACGGACAAATTAGTGTTTCCGTCTACTAGCCTCCGTTTGCACGTATCGATGATCAGATTGTGATGTTGTAGAAGGTCCATACCAATGATTGGCATAGAAACATCTGCAACATCGAAAATCCAGTGGATGGGTTTGCGTAAACCCACGTTAAGGTAAACGTACCTTTTGCCATACGTAGCGATCGGTTTTCCGTTTGCCGCCTGTAAGTTTAGGGTCGATTCTTGAAGTCGGTCGTTAGGATTTGCTGGGAGAACGCTAACTTCTGCGCCAGTGTCGACGAGGTAGCGAACTCTCGTTGTCACATCTGTGACGTATAACAGACGGCTATGTTCGCCGGCTACGGTTGCCGTTAACGCGTGCCGGCTTGAAAGTTTCCCGAATTGTTTTTCGAATCAGTCGGTTTCGTGTTGGGAAAATTGCAGGGTTTTCTGCAATTTCCGGAAAACTTTCCATACTGGTTATGATACCAGCACCAGTCGGGGTTATCTGTCTCTCGTGGTTTAGAGACAGATCGCTTACGTGAATTGCTTCTACGTGGAGTGCGCGATCTCTTACGGTCGGTACGAAGACTAAGATAACGCGTGAGTGTGTGACATAACTCGGTTATTTCATTCTGAGTCGTTTGAGGTTTTTCTTTGACTGAAAATACCTCGGTAGTAGATTTCGTAATTTCTAAAATGCGGTCGGCAGATGCAGCCAGTTTGTCTAAGGCGTTGTTCTGAAACGAGACCAGAACTGCTTGCACCTGTTGGGGAAGTTTTGATAAGAAGAGTTGTTTGAATAGACCTTCGTCGAAAGTTCTTGGGCCTATTACCTCTCTCATCCGTTGCAACATGTCCGTCGCAGAACCGTGTTGCAGGTCGATGTTATTGAAGAGTTGATCTAACCTTTGTCGATCGGTTAGGTCTCCTCGTTTAAGAATCGAGCGTTTTAAGATTTCGTAAGGATCGGAAAAATCACTAGTAAACATACTAGGTGTTACGTACCTGTTGAATTCGCGCGGTAGTGCCTTGACTACTGCGAGGAATTGTGCACGTGTGTCGATCACACCGTGCTCGGAGAAGTCGGCTTCTGCGTAGCAAAACCAGACTTCGATGTTGTCGGGCCAGAAAGGCATCAGTTGAAACGAAGGCGGGGACAAAGTCTTAAGCTTGAGTACTTTAGGTGTCTGTTCAGTCATGATGAAGTATGATAATGAACGAGGGGAAATATATATATCCAAGAAGAAACACGAAAAAATCACAATGTTTAAAAAAAAATAAAAAAATAAGGCAATGATATATAAAAATCCCAAAAAGGAACAGATTCACAGTTGCAATTAGGTGTACCAGATCACGTCAGTCTCACCAATGATGATGTCACAGGTATTCAGTGTTTGACAACGCTTTTACCAGTAACACCTTGTAATATATTTCGTTCTCACGCAGAGAAATCAAAAGACAGAGTCGACGAGATCGGAAGAGTATATTTGGCGATGACCAATATATCGGAATTCTCTGATCTAATCTGGCTAGCGATTGCGGTTGATGTTGAGCACGGCGTTACCACACGTGATCTGGTGCGGATGCCTGACCGAGCGCCTTCAGCTAGATGAGTCCACTAAAACATATGGTCAGCATCCAATGTCGAAAACTTAGTGCTATTTATTTTGGGGATCTATTTACCGCTACAGGCTTACTGGAAGTAATATTGGAGTTACAGACGTCAAACTTGCTTCTTGATGACACTCTTGTCTCTTCTTCCTGGCATGAATAGACTGAGTTTCACTCATATATGACCACGTTCTTTGAACTTTGGATTGGAAAATCGAACACAATAGTAATGGATCATTTATCATCCTATTTTAGTTAAACCTGTACAAAACAGTTATGAAATTGTCTCTTTGTAGACTTATGTACCTTGTTATTCACTGTACTCTAAAACATGAAGTAGATCAACCACATGACGAATAAATTTGTATTATAACAGTTAGACTCTAAAATCTTATGATATATGAACCTATGCCTCATGAAGTATAACAGGTTCAGATATAATTTAGTACTACGCACTATCCATCAGTTAGGCAGAAGAACTTTCCATCGAATCTTCAACAGTTTTATTCGTCCCCATTTTCACCCCTTGCTGAAAAAGGATAAGGACACACACTGAAGCCAGTAAAATGAAAGCTTCTTCTATTCGTCCAAAACTATTTGTTTTTGAAGTATGGTGTGGGCATTTTCAATTAGTACGTTACTTTCCGCCTCTGTATGCAGAACATAGACCTTGGGAACATTCCTTGTATGAAATGGCATTCGTTAGTAAGTGTATTTAAGCCTAATCCGGTTTTATGGAACTATAACTACCTAGATGGTACAATAAATAGATCTCGGTCTTGTGAGGAAGTACCTCTCAACACGGACTTCGGTCAATCTAATTATACCAATCTTCAAGGTTACTCAACTAAACTTTTAGTACCTGTTAATAAACAATTTATTGACCACTTAGGTTCAAAAAATCTTTCGGGACCTCAGGGAAAGTTCGGGGGGTTCGGAAGTCACTATGAAATCTACACTTCCAAATCTCTTAATGATATACTAGACTATCAGATGCACTCAGGGAATAAGACGCATACACTTCATCGACATAAAAGTTCGTCGGGGTTGCTTTTGAACGATAATTTTTCAAGCAATGCTTCGTCGTCCGAAAGTTTGAATGATGTAAACTATGAAAACGGACATTCAGACGAAGAAAATCTTCCTGGTGCACGCAAACGTCATGGTCTCCGTGAAGTTACTGACAATTCAGATGACGTCTCAGGGAAGAGCGTGAGTTTGGTACACTCATGTAGTGATTTCAACAGTTATTGGAGTGAAAACGAGGAAGGTCATGACGTCAGGAATAGTGACGATTCTGCTGTGAATAGTGTGCTAGACGGTGTAACCAAACTTCATGTTAATGAAAAAGAAAATAATTCGTTACCGCAGGAAGGTACTGATGCTGCAGACATAGATTTTGACGTTGATGCTGATCAGGACAAAACAAATCCAGCGTACATACCACGAGGTGGGAGGTACTATATGCATGACCATCGTACACTAGAAGAAGACGTTGTAGTGGTTAAAAAGCGAGAAAGTAACCGACGATGGCAGCATGACAAATTTAATTATTATGATCAAGCCCCAAGGTCTACAGAGGAAATCATATGGAGGTATGGGTACGATATTCGTAAAGAAAACATATGTCCGTTGGCAAATAAGTCTGATCCTAATGATGGAAGTAACGTCCCTACGACAACCTCCACCCCCTGCGAGACTAATGAGACATACCATTCTTCACATCAACCGAGTCAAGTAACCAGTACCAAAGTGCGAAACAGTGTGTTGTGCGGTAACGAAAGTCAAAAGCGTTCTGCTAGAACCCAAGGAAAAACCATCACATACTCTAGCATCAAGTATAATGGTTATAGCCGCTTTACAAAGAGCGACTGCCATGGACGCAATTTCTCCACACGGAAAGATTCAGTTACGGATGAGTTTCAAACTCAAGCTTCTTCAAGGCCCATAAAAGAGGATTCTCTATCTGGAACTAATGTGCATCGCAGTCATCCTACTCTGACCCTTGATATGAAGCCTGCTTATTCAACTAACACACATGATTCATATTGTAAACATCAACAGGGTTTAAACCATTCATATTACACATCCAACTCCAATCTTTCCAGACGTAATAGGGAAGACTCGTCAAAGCCCCCAGTCTCAAACTATCAGTATGTCAGTAAGAAACAGGCCATTAACTTCGCTCCAGTAAACACAAAAATCAGAAGAGTTTACAAACCTCAAGTAATAAAACACTCAAGTCACATCCGCGAACAAGTAAAACGTGGAGAAAGAGTTCCAAAACGGTATTCTGCTGTCCGACAAAATGTATCTAACATTGATTCATCTACCGATAAAAAAACGCCATTGCGGCTTCCATCTCCTGTACACACTGAAGAGTCGTGTGGTTCTGTTGACGTTAAGGACTTAGTGGTTACAAAGTTAGGCACCCCAGGAAATGTAGATGAGGTTACTCAACTACATAAATCTGCAGCAGACTGTAAAGACGTAATTGCAACTCAAGATCAGGTTTGCACTAAAATCACTGGTATCAACACGTTTAGTCAACAAAAAGCGAACCCTCAACCAGTCAGTATCAGTGTGCATCCAGTTTCTCTAACACATTTCCAGCCCTCCATAGAATATAGCAGACGTATTCCTACGGAATATTCATCTGTCAATCCACATTTACAAACTATATATTGCCCAGATATATTTCAGCATGATCCACGCTATCAACCTCCAAGCACTGTGATGTCAAACTACGTACTACCTAATGCTCATCAAGCTCAGATACATCGTTTATATGGAAATGGAATTCATAATATGAATTTACCAGTGCCAGTAGCCACGACTCTTTGTTTTGATCATGTGCCATGTGGAGTCACAAGTAAGTTCTCTTCAATATGCTTAGTTATTTATTTTGGAATTTATCCGGGTAATTATTAATTAAAATTCCACTTTGTAATAAACGTAGCTTGGAGCTAACAGAAACTCTTCCTACAAATCATTTACATGACATTTCACCAGTATTTTGTAACTTCTTACTAGGTACTGCATTGTATATGTCAATAAACGTAGACTGAAGCATAAGACAGTTGCCCACTAGATGCATACTACTGAATATATCTAACGGATTATCTTACCGAAGTTCGGATGACGATCTGACACTACTAATTTTGGTTTCCACATGGTTTGTTTATCAAACTATGATTCTTGAGGAGGGAAGCTACCATGTGAAGATTTTATTTCAATAAGGATTTAATCAATACGTGATGAAGCGTGTCAAACTAAATACGTACTCAGTTACAAAGTCATAGCAACTACAGAGCCAACACTGCTAAGAACCACAAGCACAATTTGTGATGCTAATATGTACCACAACTTTATTCTTGTAATACCAAGTTTTGTTATTTTTTGAAAGGTGGATCTAAATATTCCACATATACGAACTCAGATATTACAAGTGTACTGCAAAAAAAATGGTATAAGCTTACTCGAAGTTACACTATAGAACTCTATATTTTTGTTAGTAAGGTTGTATCCAACACAGTTTCATAATGTGCATTGAAAACGTTAGTGTTTATTAGTCGGTTTCCCCTTTCTAGTTGATCGTTTTAGTTTATGTAAACTGGGTGAATTTTGAAAGATTGGAAATCTACTATTGACGATGATGAGTTTTTAAGTAGTAGGTGATTAGAGCCGGGTTTTGGAAAATATATGATTATTAGATAGAGAGGGTAAAGACAAGCACTATGGTAATTTGTTGCTGAACTGGTTGTAATTATGATATCCACTTTAGCTGCAAAGAAAAGTAACATTCCTAGCTTTCCACACGATTTTTTGATTAACACCACATATACTGTCATAATAAGCTCAACAAAATATACCGTAAGCCTAACAAAGTGTTAAATGATTTAAGGTTACAAAATTTCTGGTATTGTCAAGTTCTGGATAGCAATAACTGGAGACCTATACGATATTTATCTTCATCAAATTTCATAAATTCTAACCAGTGAGTAAATAATGCGTAAAATGTATATCATTATTTTACAAAATACCTTTAATATTTCCAGATGACCCTAGTCAAACATACGTGATGCACTTAGGTATGACTGCGGTGGAGCCTCACTGGAATAGCGAGGAAAAACCAGTGTTCAACCGAAGATTCCCGAAGAAACCATTGGAAGTTATTGATCCTCGTGACGGAACAAGAGTTAATAAAGTTGCACTTTCTGAAACGCAGTAGCATGACTCAAATCGTGTTAATTTTATATACAAATTTTCAATGTGCATGTATATTTATCATGTCTTGCCTTGAAAAGTTAGTAAATAATAACTAATCTTTATGCAAATCCCAAACTGTAGATATAACTTTCCCAGTTATTATTTCTGTAACTAAATGTTCCAAGCTTTGTGCTTTTCTAAATTACTTCCAGTGTAGTCACGATTGCGAACTATTTTTTGAATATTTCAATCAAATAAAAACTATAAGCGTTTTATTTACTTGATGAATCTGAAGTACTTTTAGGCTGGGTCACTACGAAAATATTACAACCGTTAGATTTATTCACAATACTTTACTTGTAGATGTCCTGCTTAGACTAAAAATATTTTATGTGATTCATATGTTAGTGAACCTGCTTTGACCTAGTGAAGATTACTTTAAAGTACAAGTAAAGCTAACCCTGTCATGTTAAGCAAAACCGTTTGTCTTATAGAAATGCTGTTGTGACAAAACGGGTCTTAAACTGGCTGATATGGTTTTCTACATGTAAGGCCTGGTAGTCAAGCCCTGTTTCTCTGTTCGTAAAACGATTGAGGCGCGCTTATCTGGTCAAACGTACTAAGTAATGGCTCGTAAAATCCCATTCGTTTAAAGCTTGTTGGCACTAACCAGATTTCGAACTTCTAATCATGCTGTTTTTAGATGCTTAGTCGTTGGTAAACTGTCAATTTTCGAAAGTGGATCACCGAGTAAAAGCTTGCACCTGAGGTCACAAAAGCAAGTAGTTTTTGCGATCCTCCGTGCCTATGTTTACTAAACTCTGGTGTGAGTTTGGAGAATGAGAATAGATTAAATATTTAGGGATAATCGGCAGTCGCCCTTTCACACGCTATCTTTTCATGTCAGTGAACCGCATTAATCTGATGGAAAAAGTGTAACCTTAGAAAATAATTCTTAATGTACTTCTGATTTCTAATCGCAAGTGAATATTTTTCAGACCTTAATGGTTATGACCAATATAATTGGAAAATGTCGTGGTCATTAGTCCTGTATTTAAGAAGTACCGAACGACAGTGATATTGAGATATATCTGCGACTCCCTAACACGCCAATGCAACCTGTTTCATGCTAAAGTGAAAGTGCAAAACCCATCAACATGTGATGACTTTCAGTCATTTGATCAAAATGAAATTGTGATCAGATTTCCTTTCGGAATACTAGTATCAACATGCTTAGTAGATACAACCACTAAATAACTCATGATTCCCAACTGTATAAGCCAAATAATAGTTTGTTATCCTTTGAGATAATTAGATCCACAAAATACCAATCTGACAGCTGCTGTTTAGTAGGATCGACAACGTATCTGTTTAAACTGTGGACATACACTCGAAGGACAGTTCTCTAAATGAATGTAAACTTTAGAGATAACAGTATCGATAATGTGAATTAAGTGTACTAGACCTTCAGACTATGGTGAAAGGACATAGTCTTCTTGTCCTGTATTAACAACTGGATTAACGAACGTCGGTACGAACTACTGCATTTATGTTGAAACTATATTTCGGTCTGCTCAGAAAACTAAGACTAGTACTGTTGCGATCAGTACAATCCTGACTATTGAGCCATCGAAGGAATTGAATGTCTCAACTGCCACCTCTTACTATTCGCTACCTAGTATTGACGCATGCCTACTAAATGATTTCTCACGACACATTCTAGGTATGACTCACAAATCCTAGCCGATACTTTAGATGGTCGAATCTACTTTTACTGACAAATGGATACCGTTCAGGTGATGTGTTCCCAAACTTAATCTGGAGAATTTCTTAGGTGATCAAATTAGTTTAGATAACTAGTTAATAGATATTGCAAGGTATTATTACACTGGTGACTTGAATCCGTCGAATTATTTGTCAATGTAGTTTTCCCATGAGATAATAAAGTTGGCTTCTACAAACTCTCCACCTGTAGCGCAGATAAGGTGTGTTTATTAAGGAGCATGAATGCTAGACAGAAGTCCAATTCGCACTGCTCTACGGCTATAAATCGAGGTTCATAAGAAAGAACTGTGTGTTCGCAGAGTTTGATTAACGGCACCTTTGAACCGTTGGTCACAGATAGTAGAATGACCGAGTCGGTAGTGCTATGGTCAAGCAAGAAGTACTAGGTAAAATGGTACGACCATTATTGAGGCTTTAGAACTTTATTGATCAAGGTGTCTAGGACGTATTACATATATCTAGCTAGAGCTTACTCGGAAGCAAACTACCTACTCGCATAGAAAGTATTAAGGGGGTCAAGTTAAGAGATGCTATTATTTGATCAATTGAATGTTGGTGCTAACCATGTCAGTTGCGGACGTGCGGTTTGGAGTCTGTACATTAGTCATAATCGGTAGTACGATCCAAAGTCGGTTACTCCGGTAGTTATACTCAAGCCTTGCTTCTCTTTAAATCTCGAGTTTATTACGGCTCCATATTTTTATTCTTCGGTTTAAGTTGTCTTTGAAGTATACTTCTTGGTTAGTGATTAGCTTACTCATGTACGGGGTCTAATTTACTTATTCGAAACGCAAAACACTTCTGCAAGACTAACAGGATATTGAACCTGCGATCACCGTGGGGGTCAAGTTAACCTATCAAATGGTGCGAGCCAGAGTAGCTTATGCCGATCTGTGCCGTTTTCGGTTCAAACGTGACGCTGCTAATTTGACTATAAAAGACTGAATATACGTGTCGGTGAGAGCGGTCCTGCTATCCTTGTAGAGCTGAGAATGTTTAGGGACTGTGCATGATTATCTCTGCCTCTGAAGAATTGGTAACATCCGGTAGTCCTGGCGGTTCTGTAATATGTTTGGGTACACTTGGTGTCACCATCTTGAAAAACCGGCTTTAGCAGTTCAAACATGGTCTACTAGTATCGTTCAATCGGCTTCCACAAGGCCCATTATTTCCCGATGCTGGCTAAGTGAAAAAAGGAGGATCGACCAGCGCTGTGGTATGATAGATAGGTGTCTACGACGGGCACATCGGTTCATCACTTCTTGGCTGGGTTTTTAGAGATTGTGGAACTCAACGGTTTAAGAAGCCATTAGATATGGCTGTGGACGGAAGCGATCATACTGGGTTTTTCCGAAATTCTTCGTAAAACGTTACTTGAATTTCTTTAATGGAGCATCGATTTTGACTGCATTGTATCTTTTACTGAACACTTTTCTTGTTCATTTATTTTCTGAGACCTCTTAATTTTTTCATTCCTCCACAATATTATCATTTCACTAGTCTAGCACTTTTTGATATCTCATTGTGCCAGTTTATATTTGCTGTGAATGAGTAAATCATTGGCTTGTGAGTGACATACAAAATTTATATATCCACATTCCTCTTGTTCCAAACTGCTCCTAATCACGTTTCATATTTTGTACGTAAACATGACCAGATAACCCTCATTTAATGATTTTTGTGCTACGTTTTTACATCAGTTCATTTTAGGGCTTTTGTCAAGAATTCTATGTCGCCAGCTGTTATAGTATCACTGTACATCACTAGTTGATCAGGTTTTGAATCATCCTCTTAATCAGAGATGTATTTATCATAGCACAGAAAAATTGAGCTCCACAACATATTGGGTTTGACATTATTTTACCTCCTAAGCTCCCTGTTCTATGAATTTCCTCCTCCATTTTGGTAATGTGCAGTGAGCCAGCTGGGACTGATAAACACTCCTGCCAGGTTTTACGGTGAATTAGATGGATTATTTACTCCATAAAACGTCGTATTAACACCAAACTCACCGTGTTAATACAACCGATAAGCTGGGAGACCAAACAATTACCTAGTTCGATTGCTATTTGTCTCTCCCCTAACCGATATAACAAACAAGTCTTTGAAAAGTTTTAAGGAATCCCCGTTTGAGATTCCCAATCATTATTTTTCACGCCATCTATTATAGTAAGTTATCAGTTTTAAAAGTGCTCCTAGTAACTGAAGTTAGACGATGGATTATAATTTAGGAACTACGTGACCTAGGCTGTTACTATTTGGCGTGAACTTATTTAATTTTCCAAAGCAACGAAAAGATCCACAATGATGATGAATTATCAAACGGTCTGAATTTTACCTATTACGACTAGCTTGATTTGACGTTAGAAACTGTATTTAGGGTCTAAGAGTCACCACTTAATTGGTAAAGAAGTGGGAAATAATCTGAAACCAGTAAAGCTCCTTGAGACTTCCTACCACTCGTAACAACCAACTTTTGATAAAGTTACTGACGTGTTATTTTTACTCAGATTCCAGTTAAATAATGTTTTGGAGGTCACATTCCTTAAAAAACCTCAGAGGTTGCCAATTATCAATGATAACACCCGGAGTATACTTTCAACTTCCGAAAGTCACTTTGTACATATAACAAAAATGTGCATACTATGAATACAATTACGTTAGGAATAATAATCATATCACTATAAAGTAACACCTGAAAAGAGATCATTATGGAGAGCTTTACTGATAATATATGAAGTGAAAAACATTTACAAAAGATGTATTTTTCGGAACATGTCAACGTTTTTTGAATCCATATTTTTTACGTTCATAAAACAGATCAGTTTTCGCACTTCCTAAATTGACGATTTTAGGGCACCCATCTCTCTAAGTAAAAATATCTAATTAAAGAGAATCGAGAAACACTCACATCCTTTTCCAGACACGTGCACTGTCGACAGTAATAAGCGTCCGAAACCCCTGGACCACCACATATAACACAACGTCCTTGATATGATCCGTAATTACACTCGTCACATATGCGAACAAGAGTACACGGGCGAACATAAGAATCACAAATAACGCACTTCCCATCACACTTTTCACACAGACGACCGATAGCTTTGTTAAGGATAGTAGTGAAATTCAACAGTCTTACCAACACCTGGTTGTTTCCTGCAGAAAATAAGGTCTGGATGATGCTTTGCCATAATTTAAACTTGTGACTATAATTGTAGTATCGCTTTTGTGTCCTAAAAAATCAATAGTAAGGTTATATTAAGCATTAGATAAGAAAACTAACTTAAGCATATTCAATGACCATGAAGTAAAACTGAACCATAATGAACGAAACACATTAATTTACAAAGCCCAAAAATAAACATTTCAAGACGTATTTTATTGGATTGCCGTGAATCAGTCAGTCACAACGTAGAACCTGTACGTACGTACATCGGTTCACGTCATAGCCCGTTAAAAGAGGGATGTTATCAGGTCAAATCCTAGAATGGT